CCCCAAAACCCCAAAACCCCAAAACCCCGGAAAATATCTCAGAATGACGTTTGCTTTAATTTTAAGCAGAAATATGAGCATTAATAATTCCTTCCACGATTTCTTTCTCAATGGGGTCTGATGGATTCTTGTTAAGAATTACGGGCTCTGAACCTTCTACCGCTATAATTGATATCAATGAAAGGTCATACCAGAGATTAACACTGCTTGATCGTACCTTGAATGAAGCTCGTTAGCTACTACCTATAAGAATCGGTAACTTCTGGATAATCTCACAGCCAATACTTACTAAATGAACATTATATTTCTCAATAGCAGATCTGGCCTTCTCTAATAAGATTTTCGAGTCTGTTTCGAGCTTAAAAGAAACCTAGAAGTTTAATGGGAATATACCAGGAACGTATTTGGGTTCCAATCCTCAACAATTGACTTAAGCTTCTTTGGAACAGGCTCAAGGCTGATAGTCAAGCCATCCCCATGATCCTTCGATTGTATTTTGTGGGTTGAAAGAGAGGAATCTGGGATATAGAAGTCGCTAACTGCTGCTGCCATTATGCTAATGGACTTATATTCCTCTATTATTGGTTAAATTTGCTTAAAAAACAATATTCCATAGTGAACTATTTAGCTTTGTAGTTTTGAGAGAATAAACAGTGATTTAAAATTATGCAACTGTTATTTAAAAAATTTTGTTCACCGAATTATGGACAAGAGAGTTTGCTCACTTATTGTTCTGGCTAGATCACGTTAATCATTCACTTACAGATTTCCTCGATCTTCTCTAAATACTCTGAGATGGTTACATATTCAATGGTCAGAAGCCTCTCCTTGTGTTTTGCAAAATCTTCTTTGATCTGAGTAAATTTTTCATATTTCTCATGCTCTTCAGACTATTTTCAGAAATTTACACAGAAAATTACCATTCAGAAGAGATCTTCTTTCGAGAAATGATTCGTAAATGGCTGAAGTGTGCCTGATCTTGTCAAAAAGACCACATGATATTCATTCTTCAGGAAATACTCTGCTAGTAAGGAACCACGTTTTCCAGTACTACAGATGAGAGGAAGGGTACCTAAAATTCTCTATACTTCTGACAACATTCTTTTCAAGTGGGACGCTGGTACCTCCTGATGTAATAAATGCGATTTTTGAGGAGTCCTTCTCTAAACCTGATAAAAATGCTTCTATTCCTATACATAAATGAGCTATATCTTTGACTGAATTTCTTCAACTAACCAAGAAGAGAAGGATGGTTGCTTACTGTCAATATGGCTAGTTTTAGCTTCTTCCATTTTGGATATTTATATCTTAAATCTCCTGGAAATAGTCTTTAAAAAGGGGTTTTGGGGTTTTGGGGTTTTGGGG